GCTATCTGGTTGGTCAAACATGACTTCCCCTGAGTTGATCCAAACTTGAAGAAACATACTACAAATACAGTTCTAGCCATTGAGATTTCAAGCTCTTACCTGTGAAATGTAGGTGACCATGGCTCACTATGAATCACTGATCCCTAGACAGGAAGGCACGTCCCCCTAGTATGGAGTAGCCTCCGTACAGTTGGTATACAGTGTAAAGTCCATGTAAATGCTGAATTCTCTGCAAGGCCTAGTCAGGAAAAGGTAAGCAAAACTTACTATCTTTAGTCTGGTTTTGGCTTGATGAGAGGGAGATGAAGAGAACTTGTTAGTGGGTTGAGGAACAGGAGGATAGAGATGGGAGAGCAACATAGCAGGGCACAAAGCCAGCTCAAGATAGGATTTGCTCTTTCAGTAGAAAATGTGTATGTCATAACCTTCACTTCTGGATAAAAAGGAGTGTCAGCTTTTGGTCTGCTCAGTCTCTTCAGGCTGAATACCAATTTCCTCTGATGCATGCAGATTTGTTGATACATGATGATTATGGCTCTGTAGTCTTCCTAAATTCCTATGATGTGTAATACTACGTTTCCGTTTATTTTAGTTTATGATAGAAGTCAAGAATTCCCAAAAATCATCTGTACCATCTGACTGGGTTATGATTAGTAGGTATGTAAAATGCCTTTGAAGTTTGTTGTATTTTAATATAAAAGAAAAATAGAAGTGGTATTTGGTATTACAATTAATTATGTACACATTTTCATTGCTGTATGTATTTGTGTCTTTTTTTTAAAAACTGAAAACCGACCAACCAAAATTACATTGATTAATTGCCTTAACAAAATTTGCTTAAAAGAAAGCAAAACCAAACTGAAAAAGAGTTCTTAAAACATTTATATTTACATGATATATCCTCAGTGTGCTGTATTAACTTGCTCAGTCTTTCAAAGTATGTGTACTGATATGTTCTAGATTCATTTATGCCTGTAGTTTGTACATGCAAATCTTTGGCAAAGTTTTGATCTTATTTTATTCAGAAAGGTGAAGGTAGCTATGCAGATAGCTGTTTGTGCATCTCAGTAAACTCAGTGCATTTAAAATGTCATTTTACTGATTCATGCAGATAAGCATTGCTTGCTTTGGTACTTAGTGTTACATTAGCATGATTTTAGATACTTTTGGGTTACTTCTTCAGTAGGTGAAAGAGAGATGGACTGAATTATGTAGTTGGCTTTTTTCACTTCAGTCATCTGTTTTATTATTTCAATGTTTTAATGTTATAATGTGGAGGGTTTGTGTAAATGCTGAGTTCTCTACAAGGCTTGGCGTATAATGTATAAGCATAGACATCTTTCACCAGAAATAGGCATAGTCAAGGTGAACTCTGAAGTGGTGTTCTGTTGACTTATGCAAGAATTCAGTATTAAAAGTGCAGAGGTTACCCAAAATTGAAGACGATGAAGAACAAATTACAGCTAATCTGCATTTTGTAAAACAGTGCCTGGGAATATCAAAGTGAGTCCGTCATGAAATTATGCAAATAAGTAACAATTGTCTCAAATGGAGACTAGGAAGAGAAGTCTGTATTTTCAGAGTTTATTTCAGGCTTATCATGAAGTTTTTAAAGTGAAAATTTTCTTAAGAATTCATTGTAAATGCAGTCAGTCACAGAAAAGTCATCCATTTGTGCAGCATCTTGCTGAACAGAATTTTGTGAAAAACATCTCAACAGCTTTCAGAATGAGCAGTGGCGCAGTAACTGATAACTTCATTCACAATAAAGATCATTGGAATCAAGAGAGCTTGGTACCACAATAGAAGAACAATTTTTTTAAACATCCGTTTTCAAAGCTTACAGAAAGTAAGAAAACTAGTCCAATTTTGCATGTAGATGGTGTAACTGATTGCTTAGTAACCTTGATTTCCTATTTGGCTTTTCTCTCTTCCAGCACAAAAGCTGTCAGCCGTTTCCACTCTCCTTTTATTATAGAAAATTACAGACATCTGAATCAGCTCCGGGAGCAGCTCATCCGTGACTGCAGTGCTGAATGGCTAAATTTTTTAGAGTGAGTTTTTATCTTTTTATTTTACTTTATTTTGTTGTATTTTTTCTGTAAGAACAGAAAAAGAAAAATGTTTCTCTTAAAGAGGTTGATAATTCATTTGTATTGCCCACAACAAATTTACAGATAGTCAATTAAAATATTGTTCTTCAATTTAAAGCATTTGAAGGCAAGATTGAGTCCTGAGACCAGCAGTTTTGAATAGAGTTATTTTACTATTTAGCTGAAGGATCTTTAAAATGAAAGTTCAAAAAAATGTTTCTTAAACTTCCAAATACCTGTAATCTTTCAGTGTCTAATTGTCATTATTTTCTTTTTACTTCCATGAAGGCCCACTTAAATTGTCCCTCATGTCATGCAATGGTATTTGGCTCACTTTGTGCTTTTTTTCCCCGCTGCAAAAAGTTAAGAAGTTCCTTCTGAAGTTGTTTCACTCAAAATAACTGATGGCCTACTAGCTTAGCCCTCCTAGTAGGAACATAGAAATTCTGTAAATTTGATTGAAACTAGAAAAACATTCCAATTCACTCTTCTCCAGATGTGTTTGCAATGCTATAAAAATAGTTCTGTTAAATAATTTATTATCACTCTATTAGCCATCTAAGTCTGATTAGACCGACCTATTTTAACATTTCTTCACTTAGATCTGCAGCTTTTCATGTTCACTTTGATGTTTTCAATAGCTAGTGTATGATAAGGGCATGCAACAAGGAAGGACCTATGTGTAGGAAAGTGATCTTCTTCCCCACCTCTCAATTTATTTATTTATTTTATTTTTCTCCCCTACTGATTTTATATCCATGTTGTGTATTTGAGACTGGGAGAGGGAAAGAAGAAATTCTTGAGAGCTCTACTGAAAACTGTGTTCTGGTAATGTCATTATTGTACTTGGGAAAGCAATGCCATAAATGCAAAATGAATTCTTGAACTATGTGTTGTAGGTACCATATTTTTTATGAGAATGTAGACAATTCCTGTCTTCAAGCACTTTTTAGTTTATTTTTCTGTACTGTAACTTATGGTTGAAGTGAATTGCCAGTTGGGATTCTGTTGCCACTGTGATAAACAGTGATGCTTTTACAGACCTCATTTAGGCAGCAGGGATCAACTGCAGACCCTTTATATCGTACCTAATGAATTTCATTTTGCCTGCTTTTTTGTCCTTAAAAATAACTCACTGTTACAATGGGAACGTGAAGCCTGTCTTGATTAAGATTGTGTCGTCGTATTGTAACTTAATACACTGCTGGGAGGTTTGAATTCAGAGTAATTTATAGACTAAAAGACTGTAGGAGCCCTGTGAGAAGCATGCATGGGGTGTATTTTGACACTACATTTGTATCTGTATGAAATTACTTTCTTCGTCTTATCTTCCTCCCGTTATTTTTCCCTTTTTTGGTGTAGCCATTTTAGTGAACATTATCACCCTGTGTCTAAAGCGATTGGTCACCTAGCAACTGTTGACTGTCTGTTCTCATTGGCCCAGGTGGCTAAACAAGGAGACTACTGCAGGTAATGAATTTTTAATTTATATTTAGGATTTTATAGCAAATTATAAGAGAGTTTTTAAAATAAATCTTATTTTAATATGTGTAGTATGATTAAATGAATTATTAAAATTGTTTACATTAGTTTCAGCTTAATCTGATTTTTCAAAGCAACACTTCTAGGCCTAATGCAAATCTGTAAATATTCTGGTTCAAATTTGATATTTTATGGTTGTCTGTTTATAGTTTGACCTGAGTCAATATATTTCTAATAACTAAGATTCTAAGCTGGTTGAGGTATATTTCAAAGATGTATTTCAGGTAAAAAATGTGTAAATATCAGTGCCAGCTTCCAGAGCAGTGATGACGCCTCACCTAGGATTGTGTGTTAGATCTGATGAGCTGTGCAACTCCCTCTGCCCGAAATGCACGCTGGGCACTGCAGCCTGAGACATTGGTGCTGCTGAGGCTGTCGCCGCTGCTCTCTGTGATGGGGAGCTGGGAGCCTTCAGGTCCTGCTTCTCCAGATGTTGGTCCAGAACTGGATCCTGGAGCCTGTACACCCTGCAGCTCAGGTCTTCGTCCCGCTCATGAGCCCATATCTTTTGCACCTACACGGAAACAGTCAGTCTCACTAGGATACCTTCTTCCATACCGTGAGGTCTCCATCCCCAGAGGCACTGGGGACGCTGCATCAGCTTGGTCAGTGCTGTACTGGAGGCCAGCACTTACTATTTCTGAGATTCACTGTAGTCACCCCTGCAAGGGCTGTTGGTTTACTGTTCTCCACCATGCCCTCTGCCAGATGGCCCACATATTCTCTTTTGAAAAGTACTGTGTGTAACTTTTTAAATGTTGTCGTTCCAGGGATGCACTGCAAGCACTCAGGTAACTGCTTAAGAGTAACCATGTGAATTAGTAGTGTTTGGGACCTGTGGAAATACAGCAAATCATGCATTGGGTGTATGTGGATGAAGGGAGATCATCTTAGATACGCTTCTGCTTTTATACAGCATTAAAGATGATATTGATCACTTCTGGACTCTTGGGTTCTAGTGTCCCTCTGTCAAAATCTCTTTGAAAGTAATTGCTCACTTATTTCTTTATACTCAGATGAGAAAACAAACTGAAATCTGGTTAATTCACGGTGCAGAGTTTAAATAATTCACTGAATTTTAAAGAGTGGCTTGGAGCTTATAAACTGGCAGGAAGGAGACTTCTCAGTGAAACTTCAGCTGCAGGGGAGGTGTCAATAATTCATTTTGGAGGGCTACTGAAGGAGAGATGGGACTTTCATATCAACTGATTGAAGTATTTTGGAGGAATGGTTTTTAGTTAAGTGAGGATGAAGTGAGGCATGTAATGAGCCATAAAGTCAGGAGCACAGGTGCACCACGGGGTTGTTGGACACATGTAAGCACCTCTTAACAGTTTCAAGATGTTGCAGGATCTCCTGTATTGGGAGACTCATCCTTTACATGGATGTACAACATCATGTACAACATCAGCACTCTTGGGGAGAGGAGTTAGATACCTAAAGATGATAATGTAGGTAGCCTAGATATCATAACCTCATGTTTGAGTATCCGCTCTGCAGGCAGTGGATTTGTTTAAGGAATGCTGCTGCAAAGGTAGTACCTGACTAAAGGACATGTTATGCATTTCAGAGCAATTTCCTTTCTTTTGGTCTTTTTCTTTTTTTTTTTGTCTTTTTTTGACTTTCTCTCTTAACTGCATGACATGTAGTTGTCTAATTGTGGGACTGTGGGGCAGGGAAGACCTTTTAAAAAACTGTGGCTGAGGGCCTACTTTTGTGGGCCCTGTTGTCTGAGACCCGATCCAGCAGTCAGCAAGGCTCAAGGCATCCTGAAACCACACCCTGTCTCACAGTTATGTGGGAGGAGACTTAAGCAGTTAAAAAAAAAGGAAATATTTTTGAAGATGAGGGCATAGTTATAAAATGACAGATGGGTCATTTAGCTGTCATCTCACTCTGTTGAATGCAGAGTGGAGAGTTACAGGAGGAAGTTCCTCTAGGCATGTGTTCTTCCGTTTCAGAACATCCCATTGCAACTCCAAACAACTTACCCATCCCATCAAGCAAAGAGTTGAATTTCCAAGGCCTCAGATTCCATCTTAGTTTCATATCAGCTATACAACTGCTAGAAATATCTGTATGATAAAAACCTCCCACTACTGTCAGCTTACACCTCTCTCCCCACAGTTTTGTGTTCCTTATATGTTAATCGCTTTGCATCATCATTCTTTGACCCAAGAAAAACCACACTCCCCACATTTTGTTTTTCCTATAAAGCCCACCCAAAGTGTTACTTAATTTCTAGTAAAAAACCCCAAAACTGTAGTTTTATTCCAGTATTCTCTTTTTCTCAGCTGCTGCCATTTTCCTAAGTAACTGTTCTTCTTTTGAGAGTGGTTGCACTTCTAGTGTAGGAAAATGTTGCTGAGAGGTGAAACCACATTTATGTCTTCATTGAATGGTGCACTTCAGTTTAGGACAAAAAAGTAAACCTGGATTGCAGATAACAAGAAATCATAGTTGTAGTTTAATGGAACTTGCTTTTGCATTTTTTGTTCTGTGAAGAGCATGCAGTTTTTGGAGGTTTTCAGATGTGGAGATATGTAACGGAGAATTATAAATGTTGTATTAGTAGACACACAGAAAAAATTGTAGCTAAGGCGGAAGCGCTTGAGACAAAACTTTTTAAATTGTTTGCAGATGAGAGAAGAAAATAAGTAGTACAGTTTACATATTAATTTTTAAAAAGGTACTGTCATTTCGGTGCTTCAACTTAGTAAGGTCTTTCTATAGACAGTTACTGTTTGACAGCTCCTACATATCTGGGAGTTGCTGTCAGATTATGAGAGCTGCTGATGGTTACAGGAGAGTCATAGCTCTGTCATGCTGTAGTCTTTCATTGGTATTGTTTAATGTACTATTGGTCATAATATACATGGTTGGACAATTTTGTTTACTCCCCATGCTTAATGCATGAACAGGCTGGACCAGTTCATCAGCAAGATCACTGTGAGAATGTGAAATATATCTGCAAAAGGTGTCACTTTGCAGAAGTTGGTGCAGTGGTTGGAAGAAGGCAGATAGTTCTCAATTTTGGGGGTTTTGCTATTGCTTGTGTATTTTGTAGTTCTTAATAGTCTTTTATACTACATATAAAGGACTGAAAAAGAAAACATGAAGAAAATACTCTAAAATTTCTTTATCCAGTCTGCTAAAGTTTTCTTGTAACTGTATGGAACCAAGGTCTTTAAAAATATTTGATAGTAGTAATTCATTTTTGCCCTTCATACTTTCGTACAAATCTGCATCATAGATAATGCTCCTGCAGCCTTTACTTGCAGTAGTTCTAAATAATCAGTTAAATAATGAAATTAATGTCTCTTCATTTTTGCAGACCAACTGTGCAAGATAATCGTAAAGAAATAATTATAAAAAATGGGAGGCACCCTGTGATTGATGTACTACTAGGAGAACAGGATCAGTATGTTCCGAACACCACTAACCTTTCAGTAAGTACTGAGATAATATTTGAGCTTCAAAATCATTCAAGGGAATGAATCTGGGATTTACTGCTTGACCAGGAAGTTAAAATAAATAATTTAATCATATAACTGTCTGCTTGGTTGCATTTTAGAGAGATACTGCTAGATGTGACTACATCTGTTTTGTCCTTTTTCTGGTATCTTGCAGATGGGCGTTGCCTTTACAACCTTAGTCAGTCTTAATGCCATAAAGAAAAGAAGAGTTATCTCAAAATTAGGAAGATAAAATGGTTTAAATGGCTATTTTTGAAAAATTAATAATTGCAAGCTTTTTTAACAGCATCCTCAGAAGAAGTCTGCGTTTGCAATAACTTTATCTCAGATTTGTGGAGTTTTTTAATGTACGAAATAGCAACAGCTTAAGATTCTCTGAAACATTACAGGCTCAGTCTTCTAAACTAAGATAGCTCAGACAGGGTTTATGTAGTTCTCTGCTGTGTGTTCTACTTTCTGGAGGCACTAATTTCATACAGCCTTTCTTAATCTGACAAAGCAGACTTGGACCTCTGACTCTTCACTACTTAGTATAAAGTACACACGGTAGTTGTGAGAAGCCTTTTGTATTAACCTATGATAAAGATGCCCCCCTGCAAGGTGTGGCCTTCAGGTTGTATGCTACCTGTAAGTCTTCCTCTTGCTGTTGTTTTCTGCTATAGAAAATGAGAATATTAATAGTAGTAAGAGAATGAGAGAGCAATAGAATTGAGAAGCACTTTTTATGCAATGGTACCTAAGCTGTATGACCTAAATTACCTGAAATTGCTATAAATATGCAATTGCAATAGGTAGGAAACATTGCCATATTTTATTTTATGTATCTGCTTCTGATACACATATTGCAGTTTGGTTCCTTTTTTTTCCTGAGAAAATAAATTCTGTCTTTTAAATTACGTGTCCTTTGGACATTTTTTGTTAAATATTTACCTGTCTATGTCTTTTTTTAAATACTACATGTCTGTTCTTCGTGGATATAAAGGATATGCTTGCAACTAAACTCTGAATACATAACTGCCTTTTCATACAGTAACTACAGAAAAAGCACAAAACAGATGTCAGTATGGAGTACTGCTGTGATAAACACCATTCAAATTTGTATGTATTTCTTGGAAAATATTTTTAAATGCTGTTCTATACTGAACAATGGTACAGATATTGTGAAATATTTCAGGGAATATTTTCAGAATTATTTGTCAATTCCAAACAAGCAGCAGATGGCATTTACAAAAAATACAATATTTCATTCAGTAATCATCATGCAGTTTCGCCTGTTAGTCCCATTCTTATGTTGACTTTCTAAATGCTGAATATTACAAAATCAAGTGATCATGGTAGAATCACTTTTGCCTCTACTGTTGGTTTGAGTTTGCTCTTTTTTGAGAGAGGTGGGTGGGAACCCAGTTTATTAAAATGCCTCTAGTTTTAAACTGATGTGT